CTCCTCTTAAATAAGCAAGGATAGAAATGTTATGAGTGGTATTTTCCTTTTAGATCAAATCTTTCTGGGGAAGAAGAAGGAGGTACAGAGGAAATTCTGCAAACAAAAAAAAAAAATTAATTTTATTTTTTTTTACCATCTTTGCTCAAATAGGGAACTTTGATGATGCAGCAGAGTCTTAGCATGAGGTGTTTTAGTGTTTGGTTAATCTGATTATTATTTAAAAATACTTATATAATAAATATTATAATATTATAAATATTATAATTAATAAAATATTTATTATTTTATTCACTTTCTGGTTTTTCCTGTGCAGTCCAAAGGCAGCAGCACAGACACCCTTGAGAATCAAGTGCAGCAAGATAAGCATTCACCAAAGGGACTCAGAGCCCTGTGACAGCTGCAGGGGGCAGGAGGTCCCCAGGTGTTCTGACACCTCTGCAGCCAGGTTGCAGCAGCCTCTGTGGTTTCCTTCCCAAGTCCAGACACCATTTACAGGCACCTGAGAGCAGACAGAAGGGAAATCCTGGGCAGGCAGACGGTGATGGTTTGGATAAAGAGATTTGTGGTGCGGTGGGTTTGGTGTGCCCATCCTCAGCGTGGCTGGGAGGAGTGAGGCTTTGGTGTGTTCCACACTGTGCAGGAATTTGATAGCCGTGAAGCAGCCTCTAAGGCAGGGTCTGTGCTGGGTTAATTCTGCAGCCAGGGCAGGCAGAAGCGTGTCCTGCTGTGCTGAGGATGGGCTGGAGAGGAGCAGGTCTGTGCTGGGAACAGCAGGAACACAGCAGCTCCATGGCCCAGCCCTCGGCCAGGGCTGAGAAGGAACAATGCAGCTCAACAGGTTTGTGCTCACTTCCTTGGCATCTCGGAGATGAGATAATGCAGAGACCAGAGGCTTTGCCAGCGAGGTTTCCTTTCTCTGCCCCGTGCGTGCCCGGCGAGCAGGAGAAGCTGTCCTGCTGCTGTCTCTATGAAAAGCTGACGAAAAGCAAAGCCTTGGAGCTCCAGGAATGGCACGGCTGAGCTCCAAGGCTTTGAGGGTGATGGATGCCACCCCCAGGGCTTGGCTGGGCTGCTGCCTGCACAAGCACCCTGTGCCAGGAGCTGCTGTCAGCATCACGGCTGCTCAGGCCCTTCCTGTTCCCCTCCACCTCTGAATTTCTCTGCATCTTTGCTGGTTAGTTTGGACAGAATGGGTAAAGACCACTGGTTTAACCAGAAGTGTAGTCTTTACCCCTTTTTTTCCATGCATATAATGTATTCTATGCATGGCCTTGCATGCCACAGATCTGAGTCTTCTAGGTCTTAATTGTTTTGTTCCATGCAAAAATAGGAAATAAATGTGACCTGAGGTCTTCTGCTCTTTGTGGTGCTTGTGAGTATTTGAACATGTGGCCAAAGTTTATTTTTCTGAAGTGGTGGGCAGCTGCAGCCCAGGTGTCAGGAATGCCATGGTGACACTGCCCCAGGCTCAGGAACAGCACAGGATGAGCTCTGTGAGATCCAACTCAGGCTTTTTCAGGAGGTCAAGTCCTTGTTTATAGATGAATTTTTGCCATAAGATAAATTTCTGCTGGGCAGGATCCACCAGTAGCTGTGAATCTGCTGGTTTTGGTGAGCAGGGAATGCCAGCTGATGAGCTGGCATAGCTGAATTCCATGGCTTTACCCTGCTCGATGCTGGACAAAATAAGTGGAAACAAAATCTGGAAAGACACTCTGCTGTATTATTATTTCATTTTTTTAAAAACTTCTGTGCCTTGATATTGTCCCCCAGTGCATAATGTTCTTTTGACTAGGAAAGCCAGTATCAGGGTACCCCAAAGGGGCTGTGTAGTTTCTAGGCAGGTGTTGCTATGAAAGCTGCCTTTTTCCATCTGTAACTTACAGATAAAGATATTGAAGGAACCCACCTCTCCCCAGAATTAAGTCATTCCCTGTCCAGTCTAAGGTTTCCAGTGTATGCTCTTGGTGAAAAGGAATCCTGGATCACATGCTTTCCTCAAAAAAAAAAAAACCAAACCAAAAAAACCCAGATTTATTTCTTTTAAAGTAGATGTTTCTATTCCTTCTTGTTTGACCAAGTCAGACATGACTTACACGTCTTCAACTTTTGACATCTGCAAATACTTCTTTTTAACAAAAAAAAAGAAAAGAAAGGGGAAGTGTGGATTCTGATGTAATCATGTGACTCCAGGAACAAGGTTCTTATGAAAAACACAGAATCCTGTGAGAATCTGAAATGCTCAGGACTATCCTATTGTCAGCAGAAACCTTTCCAGAGATGCTGCCCCATCCCTTGGTGTTCCTCTCGTTGCAAAAGATATTTAGACTATGTGGCTTTTGGTGATTTTTTTTGTTTGTTTGTTTGTTTTTGTTGTTTTTTATGGTGTGGGGTCTTTTTATGATTTATATGGTGAAATATTTTTCTCCTTGCATGGTCAGATTTGCAGATCTGTGGCCTTGAGGCTCTCAGGTGCTCTCTGGGTTGTGTGAGGATGGTCTCTTGTGGAAGTCTTGCACTCTTTAGGCATTTTAAAACCAAAAGGGAGCCTGTTGTGGCATGAGTCAATGCCAATGGAAATTGCCATGTAAACCTAAACACCTAAGCTGCATTGGAGCCTCTTCTCCCCAAGCTCTTTGGTTCCTTGCTTTTCCCTTTCTTGGGTGGTCGAGGGTTTTGAGTTTTTTCTGACAGTCTGTCACAGGAGACTTGACCTGGAGGTTTGCTGGCTGCCAACCTGCCTTCTGCAAACGTAAATGAAGTGCCTTTCCACCTTGGACAGGAGCAGGCTTGAGAGCTCAGAGAAGAACTCTGATGGTACTCAGGACAAAAATGAGGTTCCTGTGCTGCTCATGGCTGTGGGACAGGAATTAGGGACTTGCTTGGGTGCCTCAGAGCTCACTGAAGCTGAAAACCAGGCTAATGCAAGTCCTCTGATGCTTAACTTTCCCTGGGTAAGCCCTGTTAGCTGTCTCTGGAGGCATTCAAAACCTGCCTGGACGTGATCCTGTGCAACCTGCTTTAGGTGAGCCTCCTTCAGTTTTGGACTGGGAGATCTCCAGAGCTCCATTCCCACCACAGCCGTTCTGTGATCCTGTGAACATCTGGAAAACAAAACATCTCAGCGGGCAGCTCTCCCACCACGAGCAGGCGAGCAAAGCCAGCGTGTTTCTCTACAACGTGGGAGATATTTACCCTGTGACTAAGCAGAAAAGTTAAGAGATGGAAAAGGTCCCGTTAGATCATCTCGTCCACCTCCCTGCTGGCCAGCAGCTTTTCTCCCTGGGGTGTATTTATGAATAGGCTGCTGGGCAGACAGGAGTGGTTTGCTCAGGGCTCTGTGGAGGAGCAGCAAGCAGCCTGTGCAGGTGAGGGACTCTGCACGCACGTGACTCAACCTGCACGTGCACAAATTGCTTGCAACAATAGGATTTTGTAGTAAAAGGGCCAAAAGCTCTTAACTTGACGTTCTTGGCGTGTTTGGAGCCTTCCCCTTAACTTGCAGGCATGAGCTTGTCTTTTTATAGCATTCTAGGAATAAGCTAATTTTACTTCATGGTGGAGTAGGTGGCTTGAAAACTAATAATAATAAGGGGGGGGAAAAAAATAGAAGCCTTTTGGAAAGGAGAGGTCAGCCAGCTGGACCTCTGCACAGCTGGCCTGGGCTCTGCTGGCCATGATCTACGACAGCGGTGTGCAAAGGCTCCCAGAGGAGATGTCAGAGAGGTGCAGGTGGAAATGCTATTGCCATGACAAACAGAGCACTGCTGGAGTGTCAGGCCAGAGCTTGGGGACCATCAGCATTGCTTGGTTTGTTGCTGCTTAGTAACCACAGCACGGTGCACCTGGATTGGATTTTATTTCACATTCCCCAATTGCAGCTCAGAGCACTCGGGTTGAAATGGGCGAGTGTTGAGAGTAAAGGGACAAATTCTGCCCTTAACTAAATCAGGGAAGAGCTAGAGCATGTGCTCTCCTAGGGAATGGGAGCAGGACTGTCCTATCCAGACATGAACTGAACTGCCTTCTCCTACTGAGCCTGTGCTGGTTTTTGCACTTGGGATCACTTTGCTGGCTCCAGAGGTGTCTCCTGGTCAGCACCAGTGTGAGGTCAACATTTAGGGCTAAGGATGAGATCCATTCTTTGGTGCAGGTGAGCAGCCAACCTTCCTCTGCATGGGTGACGTCTTTTGCTGGTGGTGGCACTTGGTTGGGCCCCAGGGGCTGTTCTGCAGGGTCTGATGATCCATTTCCCGACACCACGGCACATTTTGTGTGGATTTTGGAAGCGTTATGGGACGTCTCTTGGCTGAGCAATTGCTCTCTGGTCTTTCTCTTGGCTTGTCCTGTGGAAGTGACATTATCACAGATGACGTTTTCCGGGAAAACTTCCAACACTTGTAAAGAGCTCTGACATGGGCTTCGCCTCCCTTCCCTGCACCAGACATCTCCTAGGGAGGAGGGAGCTGGGGCAGGGCACAGAGCACACAGGGAGCAAATCTGCCTTATTATTATTTAATATAGAGAGAACTTGGCCTAAAGATGTAAAAAGGAATTGCAAGCTCTGTCTGGACACCACCTCTCCTCATCAATTAGCAGCATTAAACTCTCAGCAGGGAGGATTAATTAGAAAACTGAAATCTTTCTATCATGACAGCCTTCTGGTTTCCATTGAAATGCAGCCGGAGGACTGGAAAGGCTTCTGTATTTTGTTTTGATATGTAGGCATATGTTTCTTTCCATCCTGGAAATTAATTCTGTCTGTCTGTAACGGAGCCGTGGGAATCAATATTGAACTGAACTGTATTTCTCCAGAGCTTTCTTCTAAAAGTAGTTGACTGCTTCCCCACTGTGCCTAATAAGTGACCTGATTTCGGAGCAGCTGAGCAGCTGGCCTGCCAGTTCTGAGGTGTTGTACAGCTGCCTTGATGGTGCAGAGTTGGTTCATGGTCTCTCAAGGGTGATGGCTTTCTCTTTTCTGAAAGTTTTCAGGTTGGACTTTCTCTGAGCTGGACAAAATGCCCACAGTGACTTTCCATTGCTCCACACCAGGCTGGACATCGTAGGAGAGGAAGTTACTCATCCCACTGCCTCCCCTGCAGACTGCTCTTGGCTTTGGTGAGCTGTCATGCTCTCAGTCTCAAGTTCTGCAATGCCCTGAGCTGGGTTTAGAAGCAAGATGTGCCTTTTCCTCAGTGTTGCCATCTTTTCTTCCCTCCACCGTGCTTGGGGAATAAATTGAGTGCAGCAAGAAGCTGCTGTGGGAGCAGGTCACTCTTGGGTGAAGGCACAGCTTGGGCAACTCTTCTGGAGAAGAAGCTGCCTTGTGTTTACTGCAGCAAGCAACAGGCTGTGCTCAGGCTCTGCAGAGCCACAGCTTTGTGAAAATTGCATGGGGAAGGGCTGGCAGGAGAGGCAAGGCAGACCTGGGAGACCCTGAGTGCTCTGAGCTTCGGGCAATGCGTGAGCTCTGCAGGCCTGTAAGGTTCTGTGAGCACGTGGCTGTGTGCTCACAGTCTGGTTCCTGCACTGTGCTTGGCTCATTTTTCACCATGAAGGCAAGTGCACTTGAGTTCATGTGATACTGCAAGCCCAGAGGAGGAGGAGAGCAAAGCTCTGTGCAAGCTGCCCCACTTGCTTGTTTTGTAACCCCATCACCACCCCAGTGACAGCAGGCACGAGCCAGCAGCTCATGGGACCGGCACAGTCCTGGGGCTGTGCAGAAACCTGGTCCTTCTGCCCAAAACCACAGCTGGCTTCTCATCTTTGCTTGCCACCAAGCACTCACTGAGCTCTGCTTTCTCCCACTGGAGAAATCTCAATCCAGAGTTTCATGGCAGAAGTGGCACGAGCAAGGAAAGGACCTGTCAAAATTTGTGGTGGCTGTTGAGGTCCTGGTCTCTCCATGAGCTGTGGAGGTTGTGCTTCTTGCCCACAGAGAAGGAGCAAATCAACCAGGTGGCTGCTGAGAGAGCAGAGAGTGGTCAATTAGTGCTGAGCCCTCGGCTTCGCAGTCGATCAGAAAGTCTGGTTGGGATCAATAAAATCCAGCCAGGCTGCGGGGGCGAGGCTGTGGCTTGTTAGAGAGGAAGCTGTGCAGGGGGATGGCTGCGAGGGACTATCGATTGTGGCAGGCTGAGGGTAAATGCTGGATTACAAAGGCTGGTGGGATGGCTCCTGGCATGTGCAGGTGTGTTATCCTCTGTGCTGTCAGGAGGGTGTTGCAAGGGACAGAAAGTGGATCAGAGACGAGGTGGGGTGAGTCTGGAAGTTGGCACAGTGGCTTCGAAGCCCTGATCCTGCCATGATGTCATGCCAAGAGCATGGGATGGATTTTGCTCCTTCCCAGTGCAGAGCTTGGTCACTTATTGTTAAAATCCCTGCTAGAGCATGTTGGACCAGCCGTAAGGTTGGTTATGCATTTGATACTCTTAGATGTTGAAGCTACACAGATGGGGTTGGTTTCTGCCTGCCATTATCCTCGTGGAGAACTGGGGATCCCCGTCCCTGGCACAGATTCCAGCTCTCAGGACAGGTTCTCCATGGCACAACGTTGGCTTTGCAGCTCTCTGGTGTAAAGCTTCATTCATGGAGACTCTTTGATACCAGAATTTCTCCCAGTTGCTTTTCCCAGGAAAGATTTTTTTCTGAGATAAACACTTTCCTGATGGCTTATTTCACCTGAAGGTTTTACTATCTATTCCTCCTTTTTGGTTTCTGTTCCTTCTTCTTCCTGTTTTTCTCAGAAACATGGAAGAAAGAGCCTGAAGCTTCACTTTTCCAGATACATGGTTTTGCTTTAATTTCCCTCCCACAAAATCGTTGGTCATTTGAGGAGAAGGACAAAAATAAGGCAATGAAAACCTGCAGGAGGAAGAAATGACAACATTCTTCTGCACTGGTTTTTGTGTTATATGTAGAAATACCTTCCCTTTGCTGTGTTCACTTAGAGGGGAATGTTCATTGGAATCAGAGGGTTTCTGTAGGTGTAACTGGCATCAGGGTTTCCCTCTGATTCATAAATGCACAGAGAACTATCTGAGGACAGGATTTTGCCCTGTGAAAGGGAGAATGATGCAGGACAGTGCTCTCCCCTAGCTGCAGATCTTCATCCTCACAGACAGGGCTCTGTGTGTGTAAATAGTCCTGGCTCAGCTTCATCTGGGGAGGTGAATGTTCAGGCTTGCAGGAGATGAGGATCCTTCAGGCTTGGTCACTTCAGTGGAGGATTTGAAAACTTGGATTTAGGCACATTGGGACTGAGGTGAGCTTTGGGGTGTAATCAGGGTGTCTGCAAATTTTTTCATCTACACCAGTTGCTGGGGGAAGTGGTTCCTCTATAAAAAATGTAAGTTCAGTAGAGACACAATTCTGTGCTGTGCAGACCCTGATAGAAATAAAAACCCAAACAGGTGGAGAACAGAGTGCTCTCTGGACACTTGCTTTGCTTGACCTGTCTCTTACATGTAAAATAGATTTACTCTGACCTGATGGGGCTGAGCTGTCTGACCTTTGCTGATAAAAGAGCCCTTTTTAATCCTTTTGATTTGCTTCTTTGTTTTATTGTTCCAGAAGTTTGAGATCTGTATGGAAAAATCAAAGCTGCTTAATATGCCAGTATACATTACTGATTGCTGCACTGACTTTTGTAAAAAGAATATTACTGCAAAGCATGAAAAGGGACTGAGAAAAATTCCAGTATCTAAAGGGGCTACAAGAGAGCTGAAGAGGGACTTCTTACATGGAAGTGTAGTAATAGGACAGGGGGGGATGGTCTTAAACTGAAGGAGGAGAGCTTTAGATTGGATATTAGGAAGAAATTCTTTCCTGTGAGGGTGAAGAGGCACCCTGACACAGGGTACTCAGGGAAGCTGTGGCTGCTCCATCCCTGGAAGTGTCTAAGACCAGGATGGATGGGGCTTGGAACACCCTGGGATAGTGGAAAGTGTCCCTGCCCTTGACAGGGGGCTTGAACTGGGACATCTTTAAGATCCTTTTCTACCCAAACCACTCCATGATAACTTACTGAAGTGTGCTGCCTGGAACTTTTCATTTATAAAGTAATTTCTGAGAAGAGGATTTGTTTTAAGATCTCAATGGCTTCTTTAAAGGGCTGTCATGGATGTTAACAGCAGGACTCAAACAGGTTCTAAACCTCTTATTCTCAGTACACCTCATGCTAGAACAAAGAGGATGGCTCAGGAGATTTTTCCCCAGAAGCAGCTGTCAAGTGCAGCTGCCCTGGCTGGGTCACTGACTGAAGGAATCCTCCACTGGGCATGATGGCTTTTAAACACAGATCTGTTCTCTCAACAGCAGCTGTGAGAAAGATTCTTCAGCAGTTTTGGGGTGTCATACCCCAAACTGGGGAGATGCAGCCTCAGCTGATGGGTACTGATCCAGAATTGCTTGCTGGTTTTGTGGGCTGTAGTTCCCAGGGCACGGGCTGGCTCCTTCCATGAGCTGTGCTGGTCTGTGCATGTCACTTCCAGAGTAGCAGCCTGGTCAGGGGAGGTTTTGCTCTCCTCATCTTGGCTCATGGACTTTGTCCCTTGCGCTCTCTGGGGAGATACACCTGCAAACCGGGTTAGACACATGTCTGCAGAGAGTTCCATGCTCATAAACATGGAACCAGAGAATCATTTTGGTTGGAAAAGAACCTTTTACATCAGAGTCCAACCATTAACCCACAACTGCCAAGTCCATGACTAAACCATATCCCTAAATGCTACGTCTACAGAGATGCATGGTCTTAAATTGCTATTTTTTTACTTCCCTTGCATGGTGGGGAATTATACATTAATTTACATTATATCCTTTGTATAACCTGAGTGGAAAATGCCATGGGGGCAGGGTCTTATGTGTCTGAAGTGGCACCAAAATTTAGCTATTCTTTTGTGCATCCCAGAATATGGGTCCAGGTTCCAGGTTGAATGTCCTGCAGTGTCTAGAGAAAACTATAAGGATGAGGTTGGGATGATAAGAGAAAACCTGTAATATTCCAGCCACTCTCCCTTTGCCTTTGAGTCCCTCTTTGCCAAGCCTGCAGGCTGCCTGAGCTATCAGCACACATACATTTGTGTTCTCACCATTAAAACAATCTCATTTGCTTTGCTATTGTTTTTAACACTACCCCAGCGCTGGCCTCTGAAGCTTTTTGAAAATAACATTTACAATAATATTTTTAACAGTTCCGTAGTACACAAAACTCCAGTGCTCTGGCAGGACTCCCGGAAACTTGCTGAAAGTTAATGTGGTCAACTCTTAAAAAGGAGAGATTTTTTCCGCTTGACTCTTGCTTGTTAAACTCTCTGAGCCCAACATGTTCCCCGCTGCTTGAAAAAACAAGGAAAGTCCCAATTTTAGCAATGCTAGTTTGAGTAGCTTTCCAGCCGAGCCCTATTTCAGGGGCAACTGTGGCTTATTATTACTTTATTTTTCTTTTTTTTTTTTACAGTGGTGTGTGCCCTACACCTTCAAACCAAAGTGCTAAGTGGTGCTCAGGCAGGAATAAGTAGGTGCTGCTTTCTCAGGAAGGCTGGGGATGATAAATTGCAGAGGGAGATGCTGCTTGCTTGTGCTGCAGCAGTGGCAAGACTTGCTGACTTGAACTCTGTGTTTTATGGTGGATGCTGAGCCTCTGTGGGGTAAGAACAACCCTTTTTGGGGTAGGTGATACTGTAAATCCCATATATCAGTAGTAGACTGCAGGTGACTCCAGCTCCAAATGCTGGACTACACTCTTCCTGCTTTCCTAACCTTCATCCTACATAATTCTTCACAGTAAATCTGCTGGTCACTTTGTTTTGTCTTCCCTTGCATCTAAGAGAAAATCACACCTCTCCATCCTCTCCTTCCCTGCTTTGCTTTCTGTAACTTAGATCCACAGAGGCAGGAGTCATGGATGCACAGACATGTCATGGCTGAAGTGTTGTCTCCCCTGAGCTCAGTCTTGCTTAATCCCTTCCCAGTCAGAAGTACTGGAAGAAAAAGGGAAAGATGGGATTAATTTTCCAAGTGGATTAATAACCTTGCACACATCTCTCACGTAGACACTCAAACCCTGCGCTCGTGGAGCTGTGATGAATTTGTGCTACTCTGTCTGCAAAGTTCAGCTCAGGCAAATCAAAAACTGCTTTTCCCCTAGTTGAAAGCATCTATACTGGCCATTCCTGCAGGTGAGGTAACTTCCAGCAGTTCCCTGGGCAGACTGGAGCAGACAGAGCCTCTTGCATGCACAACACAAACCTGGAGTACGTTGCCCCAGCATCCCTGGTTGCCAACGCCTTGCTGAGCTCTTTCATTGCTTGGCAGGTGCTTTCCAGTGAGAACCAGGGAGATTTCAAGTAGGTTTACAGAGTTCTGTGGGCTGTGGGAGTGCTGCAGAGGCCAGTGAGAGCCCAGTTTCAGATGCTCACTGGTTTTGTGTCCCAAGCTGATCAGAGAGCTTGGCGGGAGGAGAAGCTGCTTGGAACAGCATCTATAGGAAAAGAATTTTCCACTTTTTTTTGCCCTCTTATTTTTCCCCTCCCTTTTTTTTTTTTAAGGGACATAATAATAGGACAGAATTTGTACTAGAAACAGGAATTTGTCCTTCTGTAACAGGAAGCTGCTGGTATGTATTTTTGGGAAGCCACGGAAATCGCCAGTGTTTGCAGTCCAGTTTGAAGGCCGGCTGTGCTCAGGACTGAGATCTGCTAAAACAGAAAACCCTTCATTCTCTTGTGTATCTGTGGAGATTTCCTGCCCTGTGTGCAGGGGCTGGTTTGCCCAGGAGGGCTGGGCAGTGGGCTCTCAGGGGTTTGCTGTGGCAGAGGTGATGGAGAACAGCACAGGGAGGGCTCTGCTGATGGAAAGGTCACCTGTTTTTTCCAGGGCTCGTTTGCACAGTTCCTGTAGGTGCTTGTTTTTGTGACTAGATACGGTTTGGAAAGGTCTGGAAGGTCTCCAGAAATACATTAGAAAAATCTATTGCTCTGATAGGAGAGTTAGTGTGGGCTGTCCCAGGAATTTACAGTTAATCCAGCCTGTGGCCCTTGGTGTAAACTATGCACGCAGCTTAATTCCTGGAAGTGTCACAGCAGTTTTGAAAGCAAAAGTGAAGGTTTGGGCTGTTTCCTGCTCTTGTTATAATAAGATGGACTCTTTGCCCTGTTTTCTTGTTTCAGAGTTGCATAGACTGACCAGTTCCTTCTCAAGGTAGGATTTTTAACCATTCAAGCTGTTTGGTTACTTCTTGCCTCCTCCTTGGTCTTGCAAATGGAGAGAGCAGAGTTGCTGGTGGTCCTGGGCTCTCAGGCTGAGTGGTGCTGTCCTGGGAGGAAGCTGCAGCAGCAGAAGGAACAATGCTCTCCTCTCGGGGGCACCTGGATGTCTCAGCCTCTGCTGCTCTCTTATCACCTTCCCTTCCTGCTCCTCTCTCTCAAAATGGGTTGGATAAATATTCCCCTGCTCACCAGCACCGAGGCACCAGAGCTGCAGAAAATCCTTTTAATCCATGCTTGGGGCCATTGCAGGTTCTCTTCAGATTTGTTGCTGTGTTTGTGTTGATTTGACCAAGCCAGGAGGTTTTCAAAGTTCCTTTTCCTACCATTTCTGACCAATTCCTCCTATTCAACACTCCAAGAGCCATGGCAGTGTCCTGGAGCACATGGCTCTCATTGACTTCAGGGCAACCTGCAGGACAGGAATATCTTACTCCCTGTGCAAGTCTGATCAAGTCCTTGAGGTGTTTCTCCCTTTTCTTGTGCTATCACACAGATTTATGACCAAGAAATCTGAGGGCTTTTCAGGCAGCTAAAGTGGAATTTGATATTGTCTTCAATCACAGTGTCCTTTAAAAGGTGCCCATCTTTAGGTGGATTTTGCCTTCATTCAGTCTAAAATAAATTTTCATTAGTGAGCAGGACAGGCTCCAGCAGGTTCAGGCCTGTTTTAGTTTCTTGGTGGCCAAAAAAAAAAAAACAACCCAAAAAGCCTGTGTGCAGGAGTTTGGCTGAATGCAGGATGGCAAGTCACTGAGCCCACTTGTGAGCTGGTGTTGGGGGAGATTAAAGGCTGAAACTCTGGGAGGACACACCTCCCATGAGGGATGTACGGGGCAGTCACTGCTGCTGAGGGCTGCCTGCACTCAGCTTTTTCCCCATACAACCAGAGCAAAGCTGGTCTAGCCCTGGTGAACCTTGGCTGTCATTTGGAAGCCTAAATCTAGATTTCTGCTTTGATCCAGGACTGCTTTTCCATGTCCTGCTGTCACTCTGTTCCTCCAGTGAGTGTTGTCCCACAGAGAAGCTGCAGAACATGAAGTGTTAAAGGTGGTCTTGCTTTAGGGTTACATTAATCATGTAAAAACACATTAAAAATACCATGTAATTAAAATGTTCTGCTCTTAAGGAAGTACAAGGTGTTTACTCCAAGATTTCAAAAGCATTAAGGTCCCAGGTTTGTGGTGTGTTACCTCTGGTGTGTGCAGAGGAAGGCAGATTCCTGCTCTCCGTTCCTAACTAAAGATTCTCCTCTTCCCTCCTTTCCAGGTGATGGTGGGGACAGGCTCTGTGAAAAGTGGGCCATGTTGTCATGTCAAAATTAATCTGTAACCTCTGTGTATGTTTGTTACAGGGTGGATGCTTGAGAGAGGAGGATAAGGCACAAGAGTCTGGGACTGGTGGAATGGAGGCCTGATGTAGATGGAAAGATGGGTAAGAACTGGATTTCCCTGGAGCAATTAATTTTCTGCAGCCTGGTAATTTTGGTTGGGACTACCAAGCATGGCAACAGACTGGGGGACATTGCTAAGATGCTCTGACTATTACATTGATTTCTAATTTATGTTTAGCATTTTAGTGGTGCCAAAATTGGGCAAATTTTCTTCTTATTCTGAGTGTGAGCTGGTGGATGATGTTCTAGGTTGAGTCTCTTCCCGAGTGTGCCTTGTATTTCTCTGCAGAGCATCTTCATTCCCTGTAGATCTTCTCCCAAGGAATTTTCTGTTTCAGACAAAGCTTGAATATATTGCTTTTCTAATTGGTGACCTGAATTACTTCCACTTTCTCCCTCTTCTGTTGGAATAGTTGTGTATCAGATGCTCTGTGGTGCTGAGGGAACATTTATTAAGTGAGAGTTATTTATAGTTCTGGAGGTACATAGTGATTTTGATCTTATCTCTATAGATAAGAACTTTCTGCTAAAGAAAATTCATTATGTCAGGAATTGGGACAAACTGGAAGTGCTTAAATGCCTTCCTGACCTGGTGACCCAAGAAAGAAGAGGAGATCTTGGAGGAGTCCTGGTTGAAGCTGAGCACTTGCACATTTGCAGCATTTACACAAGTTCACACAGAACTTTTCAGGGATGGCTGAAACGATGCTTTAAAGAAGGAAAAAAAAAAAAAAAAAGATATATGTGTAGGAATCCCAGTAAATTTAGGGTTTGTTCTTGCAGGTGTGTAGAGTCACACAATCACAGAATGGTTTGGGCTGGAAGGGACCTAAAACCTCATCTCATTCCAACCCCCTGCCATGGCAGGGACACCTTCCACTATCCAAAGCTGTTCCAAGCCCTGTCCAGCCTGGCCTTGGACACTTCCAGGGATCCAGGAGCAGCCACAGCTTCTCTGGGCACCCTGTGCCAGGGCCTCCCCACCCTCACAGGGAAGAATTTCTTCCTAATAGCTAATGTAAATCTTCTCTCTGTCAGTTTGAAGCCATACCCCATTGTCCTGTCACCAATTACACTCATAAAAACCCTTGTAGAAATGTGATTCAGAGTTTGGGTAGTGGTTTGAATTTAGAAAATGAAAACTGAAGCCACTACCACACTTTAAGTGTTTATTCTCTCCTGTGAAGAAAGGAGAAGAGTGGTATTTACTCCATCCTGGCTTTATGTTTTGTTTTTGCTCTTTCTCTGTTACCTAGAAGAGAGGTTTTGTGGGAAGAGAACTAATTTAAAGCTAGGTTAAAAAAAAAAAAGGGAAGGGAAGAGAAAGTCCAGATCTGCTTCTTCAATATAAAGAATGACCAATTTCAGTTTAAAATCCCTGGTGACTAACCCTAAAATTTTTTAGAAACATTTTCACTTTGAAGGCAAAAGCCACTTTGCTTTGTCAAGGCAATGTGGGTTATTTTAACAAGGAAAGTTCATACTCACCCTTGGCACCAGCAGGGTGTTGCTGGCTCCAGCCCAGCTCTCAGGAGATTGTCAATTTGGTGATTTCTTGTACAGAGAGTGGTTGATAAAACTTGCTCAAAGTGCCTTCAGCCTGCCAGCTTCAAATGTAATATGGGTGCACCTGGGCAGCATTAACTGTGGGAATTATGGAGTGAAGAGAGGCACTGTGGCTGTTTTTTTGGGAATGGGAGCTGAATCAGGAGGAGCCTTGTGCAGGTTTGGAGTTCTGCTTGCACTTTGTGTGCGGGTGGAAGGTGCTGTGCATGTCCCCTCACCAAGATGTCACTGCTGTGGCTCATCAGCAGCAGCATCCACACCTTTGTGGGGTTAGATCTGCCAGGATGTATCCAAATGGGATCACTGATGGTGATCCTGAGTCTGGTCTGCAGCTTGGCTGTCAGGGTGAGATGGCTGAACTCTTGTGTGTCCCCATCAGTGTCACTCAGTGGTGCTTGTCAGTTAAAGAATTGCTGCAATGGCTCTGCTGATGCACAGGAATTTGGGCTAAATTTTGAGGGTTTATTAGTTTCACTTCTCTCCCTCTCCCTTTTATATGTGTTTGTCTACTCCATGCATTGGGATGAGGGAGCATTTTCAGGGGAAGTGCAGGGAATTTACGGTCACATCATTGATTTCCTTCTGGAAAGGACTACAGAGGAGATGTGCTGGATGAGGTGATCTCTGACAGTCTATTCCAGGTCTAGCTTTTTCCAGGACCCTATTTACAGTCTGCTCAGTGTCTCAGAGTTCAGCACAGGACTGTTCACTCCTAGATGTGTTCTAGGGAAGTTGCATGACCTTGCATGGAGACCACAAGACGGGAAGTGGGGACTTCTGGCGTCTCTGTGTCATGCAGCGCTTGGACCAGCCCTGTGCAGCAGTGTGTCCCAGGGCTGGTGCAGTATCTCTGCATGTGCCAGCTTGGGACCAGCCTAAGTCCTTGCCATTGAGTCTTTTTATTCATCTTACAGTCCATTTCCATCTGCAGCCTCTCCCCAAGACTCCTTGTAATTCGATCAAATGAGTGCTTATGACACTTTTAAAGATGTTTGTATCTGCAGCACAACACAGTGGAAAAACCCTGCCCAATAAGTATTAAAAATTGCTGTTTAAATATCACAGTAAAAGTAATATTAAAAAAACCTGCAGAAGTTGGTACAGAAAGCACCAGCTTGTTTGTTGCTTAACTTTTATTCTTTTTTGTTTTAAAAATGATTTAAGTATTCTCAGTTGTGCTTATGAAATGCTGTGTGCATGCATGTGTGTTTCTGATGGTAAAAACTCCAGGAAGGCTGATCTGTTCTGCTCAGAGTACATCCACACAACTCAAAGGTTTAGGTCTTTAGTGCTTTGCTGGAGTGACTTTTGCTTCGACAGAAAGGTCATCTGAGGTGTGGGAGATGGGAGAATGATAGTGTTTATAGTATTGACTTGACAGAGTGTGTGTGATTGCAGGCTGGGCTGGCAGAAGGCACAGCAGCTTGCTGAGGGCTTGTCTGAACAGCCTGGCACGGCCATTCAGCCCAGCTCCCTGGGTTTTTTGGGGGCTGTTGAAACAGGGAGAACTGCTAGAGCAGGTGGGGGCAGAGCAGACCCTGTCCCATGGATGTCCCAGCCCTCCCTTGCTGTGTTTTCCTCATTCCTCAGTACACCATGCTTTCACTCTTCTCTTCCTTATTGCTCTTATCTTTCTCTTTGTGTGCTGAGAGCTATTAAGGAAAAATTAATTCATGTTGGATTGCTGCACTTTATATTATAATAAAATAATTTAACTCAGAGAGAGTCTGGGTTAAAAGGTGCCCATGGTCTCCTTCTCCCTTTCCTGGCACTGCACTCGTTGTACCCAGGGCTAAAATTTAGGGTGCTCTGGGCACCTGGGGAATGTGGGATTGGACCTGTATCACATCTGGGATGTTGCAGCCGTTGCTGCAGCAACAGGTTAGGAGTTCATGGGCTCTGAGCTGAGGCTTTGAGCGCTGGAAGTCGCTGGGCTGGGAGGGAGAACGAGTTCTTTATGATCCCTCAAATAACCTTCAAAGGTATCAGAGTCAGTCAGGGGAAATAACTTGCCAGTTACATTTCTTTGCTGGGTAAACATTTTTCTACTTTCAAGTGTGCTCAAGAGAGAGGTATGGGTTGTGGGGAGAGGTAATATCTTTTATTAGACCAAATGATAGAGGTGGAAAAAACCAGGCTGCCTTTTAGGCACATAAGCCCTTCTTCAGAAGGAGCAAATTTTAAGCTTAGCAGGGAAACTGCTGGAATAATTGGCCCAAGTTTAATTCAATTATGTTAATCCATTAGAGAAAAATGAGTGTGTGTGGAGCAAAGGGCAGAGTAAGCGAAAAAGTTGTGAAAGTTTCTTGTGGGATGAGAAACCTGCTACCTTTGAAGTGGTGAGGAGTAGCAGAGCTACAGGCATGCAAAAGTTTTCTTAAATGTGGTTAGTTTTGCTTTTTAAGGGTCTAGGCCCTGCTTGCAGATCTCCTGGACTAACTTTAATTTGCAAAAGCAGACGAGAAACAAGGGGTTTGTCACGAGCAGTAGGTTTGTGGTTGGGCTCAAAGATCCTGTCTCCTGTTCCAGCATCCCAGTCACTGCCTGGATGTGAGGGGCAGCAGCTGTTTCCCCAAACTCTGCCCTCTTCAGCAAATCTTCCCCCCACCAAATGCCACCCAATTTCAACCCAGACATTGTCCCCAAGAAGGGGTGAAGGCTGTGATGTGGCTGCACCTCCACAGCTTGTGCTCCTGAGCTGCTGCAGGTCAGGAGCTGAGAGAAGGAAGAATGACTGTCAGGATGTGGCACGAGCTGTACCTGGGGGAAAATTGCCTTCCTAGCTGGGCTTTGCCACCCTCCAAGCGTGTGGGGATGTATGGGGGACTTGTGGTGCTAAATGTGCCCAGGGATGGGGCTGTGGAGGAGAGCAGTGTGTGCAGAGCCTGGGAAGGCTCCCGTGGAATTTTACTGTGCACAGCGCTGTCAGGGATGGCTATTTTGGGAGTGGAGGCTTGTGGTGAACCACAGATGTAACCTTGCTTTCCCTCCCTGCTGAGCTAAACCAAACACCTTTTGGATCCCAAGTCCTTTTCCATTGCAAAAGTCCCTGGTAAGCCTCTGGAGCGAGGGAACATCGGCATTGAGCCACGGCGCTTCGCAACTCATCAGGAGAAGTTTCTTGTATGATTTGTGGCCTAGCCACTGAAACTTTTACAACTTGCCATCCCAAATGCTTTGGTTTTGGTGTTTGTGAGGTACTGATCACTTGGGGTTTTAAGGGCATCACTCTCACCTCTCCTAAACTGAAGTGCAGTCCCAGCTCTGCCTTTGCTTCTGGTTTTTCCTGGGGAAATTCAGAGGGCAGTTGGAGTTCTTCATGATCTCACCCTGGCTCTTGAATGGTACATGAATTTCTGTGCCAGGTTAGTCTCTTTTGCTGTTTTTTCAATGCTCTCATTAATTGACTGGAGTCTTAGCATGTCTATATTTCATTGGGGTGTTTGCTTGTTTGTGTGTGTATTTTGGAGACTGC